TTACTTGCCGTCGCATAGTCCGTAGTCTGGTCATGGTCAGTCTCACAAAAACCCGGCAAGTAATCTACGTTACTTGCCGTCGCATAGTCCATAGTCTGGTCACGGTAGGAGTCACAAAATCCCGGCGGATCGGATGTGTTGAGCCACTCTGTTGAATCTTGCTTCACCTTGCCAGTGTTTTGCAAGATTTCGGTGTTCCTCGCTGAAAAAATTTATGGTTTAAAATATAAAATAAATTATATATTATTATATTATATTATTATATTATTATTATTATATTATAATTATATTATATTATAATTATTTATTAAAGGTTACGAAAACTCACCCAAAATATATTTTCTAAGTCTGTATCTAAACTCCTTTGGTGTTGGATGGTCGTATAGTCCTCCCTTGCTGCGAATGTTGCCAAAGAATTGCTCCAGAAAGTCTTGATTTAGTCGCTCCGTCACGATGTATTTGAAATTGTACTTTGATTGTATAAATTCGTACAACATTGGCAGCGCATTAGTACTCATCAAAACACCTTTCTGGAATTGCTGCAAACCTTTTTTACCTGGTATCACCACTTCTGACATGAACTCACTCATTTATCTCAAAACCTTGTTTTGGTTTTGCAACTTCAGACCAAATGGCTCCTTTAATTTATTTAAAAAAGTTTTCTAATTAGAATATTGTGGTAATGAAATTTGCCTTTCCAGGGTAGTTTAAGGTTTCCACGGAGGAGTTGAATACATCATACCAGTCGTTTATTAGCTGAACTAGATCAGCTGTCTCAACTGGATTCACCACATCCAACCCAAGTGAATAACAACGCCGTATAGCCATTGCAGTCGTGTTCGAAAGCAATTGAGCTGCTACCTTCACTTTTTGTCGCCCTGAAATTTATAGAGAAAACAATATTTACTAGGCTATCGAATATTAAGTAGTTTTAACATATGTATGTACCTATGCCTTTGACGGATAAGTGGGCCTCGGTCAATTTGAAAGTAATGGATACATCACAGGAAGAGGTGTGCTTCATGACGTCCACTATTGCTCGCGTGTTTATAGTTTTTCCGTTCCAAATGAGCCCGGTATCAAGAAAATGATTTCTGATGAGTTTCAGCATATGCGGCGCGTCAGCAAAAGCAAAAACTTTGTCATCGGGATTCATTGGGTTATGGAACCACGGTTTTTCTACGAAAAATTAAGTACATGCTGCAAAAATTAGATAATGTGAACATTTACTTCTTACCTATAGTAAGTCCAAGTTCTCTCCATAATTTTTGGTTCGACGTGCCCATATCGCATACCATCGCAACAACAGGATAACCAGCATCCTGCACTGCCATAATTATGCGTGTCAAGTGATCTACATCGATTTTGCAGTCAAAATCGAAGAACACTACCTGCTTCCACCTCTTGTACAAACCTCGGGCCATTACGACTTGAACGTAGTTCGCTGGTTTTCTGACGAAGTCTTCTGTTGGCTCATATTCATATGCCTCGGTCACCTTCATCTCGTCGAACGCTAGTAAGCATACTTTCTCCTGAGCAGAGAGGTCTTTAATATTTCGCATGAACTCCAATGCAACGGTGAGAATTCCCTCGTTGATGTGAACTTTCCGGTACCACCGTTGTAGAGTAGTCACATGGGGAAGAGGGAACCCACCTTGGTACAGATGCCTGTATGCTCGGGGACCGGATGCGTGAAGACATATAGCGCTCGATATGTCCTTCCATGCCCAATGCACAGTTTTACCTTCGAGGTAAGCAAAGAAGCTTACTTAAGAAAATAGTATACTTTTAATATTTAAAAAGCTACATACCATTCATAGCCATTTTCCTCACTTGGCCTTTTGTGAAAATGGAGCGAACCGAGGTCATTATTTTTTCATTTTCCAGGAGCTTCAACTTCAGCTTAGCATTTTCCTCTAGTAGCTTCTTATTTTTTGATTTTAGATCTGCGATCTCCAACTCCATTGCACACTGTAATAATATGGAACTGAACAGATTTGTGTTTTTATAAGGAAATATAATAATATTAAATCGTTTTAGGGAAACTCACTCGGTATTCGTTTGGATACTGTTTTGTGGCACACATTGGTCATCCGTCTGTGTATGGCAACTTTTATACGCTACGTATTACTCAACAGCACCTGCAAAAGTACTACAAACATTCGCATCAATAAATGAATCGTTAAGATTTAAAACTTTGTGATGTAGGCTTACTTTAGACTCACGCTTGATTCTAAGAGTTCACCCATACCCGGACACCCATCAAAGCACATGGACGAATCTTGTTCCACACATTCCGCACTATGGGATCTAAAAACTTGTATATAAAGTGATCTGATGCGACCGCATTTCGGATACTCACTTCGAAGAAGATGGTATATTAAAATTAAGGGAAGGAACAGAGTTGGGCATTAAGTTGATCCTTTGCGCTCCAACTATGAGATCCGATTGTAAAAAATGGTCGGAACACCCCCAACTGTTTGCTGCAAGCTGCAAGCCACAAGCTCTGTCCCAATTGGATTTTCTCCGCTGATCCTGCGGAACTTTAAAAAAGGATCCATCCCTTTCCCCTTCTTCTACCACACAATACGCATTTTCCCATTTCTGAACTTTTACTTTAAATCAAATAATCAAATAATTTTTATTAAATAAATTTGCCGCTGAATTCACAGAAATACACTCAATGCAACTCAATGTAAACAAAGATAGTTTTGTAAACAAAGTTTGACAGTTTATGGACCACATAAATAGAAAAAAATCAAATCAGCTGATTTTCTGATACTACCTGTTTATTGTACCATGTATTTGATACATAATTTCGCTGCTTGCTACCCAAGCATGTTACCACTTTGCAATGGGGTGCTCTCGTACTCTTCGAAATTTTGAATAGTATTTTTGAATTTCGTGCCTTCCCTGCATCGTGCATGACTTCGAGAATACCCCTAATGTTGTTTACGAAATAAAATGCAAAGGATTGGCGAAATCTGCAATAAAGTATACGTAGGCACGACAAAGCGAGCACTTGGAATCAGAATCAACGAACACCTAACTGACGCAGAACATAAAAAGACAACAACAGCACTAGCCCAACCAGTGTTGTCAAACAGTGGCGTAGCCAGGGGGGGGATTTGGGGGGATAGATCTCCCCCTTCGTCAGTGAAATGAAACTTTTTATTTTTGAATTAATAACACAATACTATTTTACCCTTCCGATTTATAATTTTTTATTTCAGACTGATGGCAAATTATCTTTTAATGAATATATAAAATTATCGGTTGGTGGATTATGTATTTGAATATTTGCGAAATACACTAGGCCATTTTGCTTAGTTCCCTACAGTGTTGGGAAATAAAATTGTTCCTTCAGTACAAAATCTATACAAAAACTGTACTTTTCGACTGTAAATTGTATCGAATTTGCTCATATGCATATCCATACATAGATTCCCTTCTAGACCAATGATTTGATGGTATTCACGGGAAAGTTTATGTAGGTACTTTTACATATTTTACACTTTTAACATAAATGTCAAGGAAGATATTTTAAGATACACTTCTTAACAAACACATTTTTTTAAGTTATTAAGAATAGATAAAAGAGAAATCTTCTTTGAATTCAGTACTAAAACTTGACATTTCAAGTGCTTATCAAAACTTTACACATGTTAACTAGATTGGCCATTTATCTTAGAATTATATAATTTTGATTATTTGTTTATAAAAATGCAGTTTACACTTTAACAAGACCCGTATAAATCCAAAGTTTAATCTTTGCGCAACATTAAAAAAATGAACAAACTTTCGTAAAGCTTTTTAATAAGATTT